CGGGAATCGGGGGGAGGGAGGGGAATTGGGAATCAGGGGGAGTGAGGGGAATCAGGGGGAGGGAGGGGAATTAGGAATCGAGGGGAGGGAGGGGAATCGGGAATAAGGGGGAGGGAGTGGAATTGGGAATCGGGGGGAGGGAGGGGAATTGGGAATCGGGGGAAGGGAGGGGAATTGGGAATCGGGGGGAGGGAGGGGAATCAGGGGGAGGGAGGGGAATTGGGAATCGGGGGGAGGGAGGGGAATTGGGAATCGGGGGGAGGGAGGGGAATGGGGGGGAGGGAGGGGAATCGGGGGGAGGGAGGGGAATCGGGAATCGGGGGGAGGGAGGGGAATTGGGAATCGGTGGGAGAGAGGGGAATTGGGAATCGGGGGGTGGGAGGGGAATGGGGAATCAGGGGGAGGGAGGGGAATGGGGAATCGTGGGGAGGGAGGGGAATGGGGAATTGGGGGGAGGGAGGGGAATTGGGAATCAGGGGGAGGGAGGGGAATTGGGAATCGGGGGGAGGGAGGGGAATTGGGAATCGGGGGGAGGGAGGGGAATCGGGAATCGGGGGGAGGGAGGGGAATCGGGAATCGGGGGGAGGGAGGGGAATCGGGAATTGGGGGGAGGGAGGGGAATCGGGAATCGGGGGGAGGGAGGGGAATCGGGAATCGGGGGGAGGGAGGGGAATCGGGAATTGGGGGGAGGGAGGGGAATCGGGAATCGGGGGGAGGGAGGGGAATTGGGAATCGGGGGGAGGGAGGGGAATCGGGAATCGGGGGGAGGGAGGGGAATCGGGGGGAGGGAGGGGAATCGGGAATCGGGGGGAGGGAGGGGAATTGGGAATCGGGGGGAGGGAGGGGGATTGGGGAATCGGGAATCGGGGGGAGGGAGGGGAATCGGGGGGAGGGAGGGGAATCGGGGGGAGGGAGGGGAGTTGGGGAATTGGGAATCGGGGGGAGCGAGGGGAATTCGGGAATTGGGAATCGGGGGGAAGGAGGGGAATTGGGAATCGGGGGGAGGGAGGGGAATTGGGAATCGGGGGGAGGGAGGGGAATGGGAATCGGGGGGAGGAGGGGAATTGGGGAAAGGGAATCGGGGGGAGGGAGGGGATTTGGGAATCGGGGGGAGGGAGGGGAATTGGGAATCGGGGGGAGGGAGGGGAATTGGGGAATTGGGAATCGGGGGGAGGGAGGGGAATTGGGAATCGGGGGGAGGGAGGGGAATTGGGAATCGGGGGGAGGGAGGGGAATTGGGAATCGGGGGGAGGGAGGGGAATTGGGAATTGGGGGGAGGGAGGGGAATCGGGGGGAGGGAGGGGAATCGGGGGGAGGGAGGGGAATCGGGGGGAGGGAGGGGAATCGGGAATCGGGGGGAGGGAGGGGAATTGGGAATCAGGGGGAGTGAGGGGAATCGGGGGAGGGAGGGGAATTAGGAATCGGGGGGAAGGAGGGGAATCGGGAATCGGGGGGAGGGAGGGGAATTGGGAATCGGGGGGAGGGAGGGGAATTGGGAATCGGGGGGAGGGAGGGGAATCGGGGGGAGGGAGGGGAATCGGGAATCGGGGGGAGGGAGGGGAATTGGGAATCGGTGGGAAGGAGGGGAATTGTGAATCAGAGGGAGGGAGGGGAATTGGGAATCGGGGGGAGGGAGGGGAATTGGGAATTGGGGGAGGGAGGGGAATCGGGGGGAGGGAGGGGAATCGGGAATCGGGGGGAGGGAGGGGAATTGGGAATCGGGGGAAGGGAGGGGAATTGGGAATCGGGGGGAGGGAGGGGAATCGGGGGGAGGGAGGGAAATCGGGGGGAGGGAGGGGAATCGGGAATCGGGGGGAGGGAGGGGAATTGGGAATCAGGGGGAGTGAGGGGAATCAGGGGGAGGGAGGGGAATTAGGAATTGGGGGGAGGGAGGGGAATCGGGAATCGGGGGGAGGGAGGGGAATTGGGAATCGGGGGGAGGGAGGGGAATTGGGAATCGGGGGAAGGGAGGGGAATTGGGAATCGGGGGGAGGGAGGGGAATCAGGGGGAGGGAGGGGAATTGGGAATCGGGGGGAGGGAGGGGAATTGGGAATCGGGGGGAGGGAGGGGAATGGGGGGGAGGGAGGGGAATCGGGGGGAGGGAGGGGAATCGGGAATCGGGGGGAGGGAGGGGAATTGGGAATCGGTGGGAGAGAGGGGAATTGGGAATCGGGGGGAGGGAGGGGAATGGGGAATCAGGGGGAGGGAGGGGAATGGGGAATCGTGGGGAGGGAGGGGAATGGGGAATTGGGGGGAGGGAGGGGAATTGGGAATCAGGGGGAGGGAGGGGAATTGGGAATCGGGGGGAGGGAGGGGAATTGGGAATCGGGGGGAGGGAGGGGAATCCGGAATCGGGGGGAGGGAGGGGAATCGGGAATCGGGGGGAGGGAGGGGAATCGGGAATTGGGGGGAGGGAGGGGAATCGGGAATCGGGGGGAGGGAGGGGAATTGGGAATCGGGGGGAGGGAGGGGAATCGGGAATCGGGGGGAGGGAGGGGAATTGGGAATCGGGGGGAGGGAGGGGAATCGGGGGGAGGGAGGGGAATCGGGAATCGGGGGGAGGGAGGGGAATGGGAATCGGGGGGAGGGAGGGGGATTGGGGAATCGGGAATCGGGGGGAGGGAGGGGAATCGGGGGGAGGGAGGGGAATCGGGGGGAGGGAGGGGAGTTGGGGAATTGGGAATCGGGGGGAGCGAGGGGAATTCGGGAATTGGGAATCGGGGGGAAGGAGGGGAATTGGGAATCGGGGGGGGGGAGGGGAATTGGGAATCGGGGGGAGGGAGGGGAATTGGGAATCGGGGGGAGGGAGGGGAATTGGGGAAAAGGGAATCGGGGGGAGGGAGGGGATTTGGGAATCGGGGGGAGGGAGGGGAATTGGGAATCGGGGGGAGGGAGGGGAATTGGGGAATTGGGAATCGGGGGGAGGGAGGGGAATTGGGAATCGGGGGGAGGGAGGGGAATTGGGAATCGGGGGGAGGGAGGGGAATTGGGAATCGGGGGGAGGGAGGGGAATTGGGAATTGGGGGGAGGGAGGGGAATCGGGAATCGGGGGGAGGGAGGGGAATTGGGAATCAGGGGGAGTGAGGGGAATCGGGGGGAGGGAGGGGAATTAGGAATCGGGGGGAGGGAGGGGAATCGGGAATCGGGGGGAGGGAGGGAAATTGGGAATCGGGGGGAGGGAGGGGAATTGGGAATCGGGGGGAGGGAGGGGAATCGGGGGGAGGGAGGGGAATTGGGAATCGGGGGGAGGGAGGGGAATTGGGAATCGGGGGGAGGGAGGGGAATGGGGGGGAGGGAGGGGAATCGGGGGGAGGGAGGGGAGTCGGGAATCGGGGGGAGGGAGGGGAATTTTGAATCGGTGGGAGGGAGGGGAATTGGGAATCGGGGGGAGGGAGGGGAATGGGGAATCGGGGGGAGGGAGGGGAATGGGGAATCGGGGGGAGGGAGGGGAATTGGGGGAAAAGGGAATCGGGGGGAGGCGGGGATTTGGGAATCGGGGGGAGGGAGGGGAATTGGGAATCGGGGGGAGGGAGGGGAATTGGGAATCGGGGGGAGGGAGGGGAATCATGGGGAGGGAGGGGAATTGGGAATCGGGGGGAGGGAGGGGAATTGGGAATTGGGGGGAGGGAGGGGAATCGGGAATCGGGGGGAGGGAGGGGAATTGGGAATCGGTGGGAAGGAGGGGAATTGTGAATCAGGGGGAGGGAGGGGAATTGGGAATCGGGGGGAGGGAGGGGAATTGGGAATTGGGGGAGGGAGGGGAATCGGGGGGAGTGAGGGGAATCGGGAATCGGGGGGAGGGAAGGGAATTGGGAATCAGGGGGAGGGAGGGGAATCGGGGGGAGGGAGGGGAATTAGGAATCGGGGGGAGGGAGGGGAATCAAGGGGAGGGAGGGGAATCGGGGGGAGGGAGGGGAATCGGGAATCGGGGGGAGGGAGGGGAATTGGGAATCGGGGGGAGGGAGGGGAATTGGGAATCAGGGGGAGGGAGGGGAATTGGGAATCGGGGGGAGGGAGGGGAATCGGGGGGAGGGAGGGGAATTGGGAATCGGGGGGAGGGAGGGGAATTGGGAATCGGGGGGAGGGAGGGGAATGGGGGGGAGGGAGGGGAATCGGGGGGAGGGAGGGGAGTCGGGAATCGGGGGGAGGGAGGGGAATTTTGAATCGGTGGGAGGGAGGGGAATTGGGAATCGGGGGGAGGGAGGGGAATGGGGAATCGGGGGGAGGGAGGGGAATGGGGAATCGGGGGGAGGGAGGGGAATTGGGGAAAAGGGAATCGGGGGGAGGCGGGGATTTGGGAATCGGGGGGAGGGAGGGGAATTGGAATCGGGGGGAGGGAGGGGAATTGGGGAATTGGGAATCGGGGGGAGGGAGGGAAATTGGGAATCGGGGGGAGGGAGGGGAATTGGGAATCGGGGGGAGGGAGGGGAATTGGGAATCGGGGGGAGGGAGGGGAATTGGTAATTGGGGGGAGGGAGGGGAATCGGGGGGAGGGAGGGGAATCGGGGGGAGGGAGGGGAATCGGGGGGAGGGAGGGGAATCGGGAATCGGGGGGAGGGAGGGGAATTGGGAATCAGGGGGAGTGAGGGGAATCGGGGGGAGGGAGGGGAATTAGGAATCGGGGGGAGGGAGGGGAATCGGGAATCGGGGGGAGGGAGGGGAATTGGGAATCGGGGGGAGGGAGGGGAATTGGGAATCGGGGGGAGGGAGGGGAATCGGGGGGAGGGAGGGGAATCGGGAATCGGGGGGAGGGAGGGGAATAGGGAATCGGTGGGAAGGAGGGGAATTGGAAATCGGGGGGAGGGAGGGGAATTGTGAATCAGGGGGAGGGAGGGGAATTGGGAATCGGGGGGAGGGAGGGGAATTGGGAATTGGGGGGAGGGAGGGGAATCGGGGGGAGGGAGGGGAATCGGGGGGAGGGAGGGGAATCGGGAATCGGGGGGAGGGAGGGGAATTGGGAATCAGGGGGAGGGAGGGGAATCGGGGGGAGGGAGGGGAATTAGGAATCGGGGGGAGGGAGGGGAATCAAGGGGAGGGAGGGGAATCGGGGGGAGGGAGGGGAATCGGGAATCGGGGGGAGGGAGGGGAATTGGGAATCGGGGGGAGGGAGGGGAATTGGGAATCGGGGGGAGGGAGGGGAATTGGGAATCGGGGGGAGGGAGGGGAATCGGGGGAGGGAGGGGAATTGGGAATCGGGGGGAGGGAGGGGAATTGGGAATCGGGGGGAGGGAGGGGAATGGGGGGGAGGGAGGGGAATCGGGGGGAGGGAGGGGAGTCGGGAATCGGGGGGAGGGAGGGGAATTTTGAATCGGTGGGAGGGAGGGGAATTGGGAATCGGGGGGAGGGAGGGGAATGGGGAATCGGGGGGAGGGAGGGGAATGGGGAATCGGGGGGAGGGAGGGGAATGGGGAATCGTGGGGAGGGAGGGGAATTGGGAATTGGGGGGAGGTAGGGGAATTGGGAATCGGGGGGAGGGAGGGGAATTGGGAATCGGGGGGAGGGAGGGGAATCGGAAATCGGGGGGTGGGAGGGGAATCGGGAATCGGGGGGAGGGAGGGGAATCAGGAATTGGGGGGAGGGAGACGAATCGGGAATCGGGGGGAGGGAGGGGAATTGGGAATCGGGGGGAGGGAGGGAATCGGGAATCGGGGGGAGGGAGGGGAATTGGGAATCGGGGGGAGGGAGGGGAGTCGGGGGGAGGGAGGGGAATCGGGAATCGGGGGGAGGGAGGGGAATTGGGAATCGGGAATCGGGGGGAGGGAGGGGAATCGGGAATCGGGGGGAGGGAGGGGAATTGGGGAATTGGGAATCGGGAATCGGGGGGAGGGAGGGGAATTTGGGGGAGGGAGGGGAATTGGGGGGAGGGAGGGGAATTGGGGAATGGGGAATTGGGGGGAGGGAGGGGAATGGGGAATCCGGGGGAGGGAGGGGAATCGGGAATCGGGGGGAGGGACGGGAATTGGGGAATTGGGGAATTGGGAATCGGGGGGAGGGAGGGGAATAGGGGAATCGGGAATCGGGGGGAGGGAGGGGAATCGGGAATCGGGGGGAGGGAGGGGAATTGGGAAATCGGGAATCGGGGGGAGGGAGGGGAACGGGGAATCGGGGGGAGGGAGGGGAATCGGGAATCGGGGGGAGGGAGGGGAATCGGGGGATCGGGAATCGGGGGGAGGGAGGGGAATCGGGGGGAGGGAGGGGAATGGGGAGTCGGGGGGAGGGAGGGGAATGGGGAGTCGGGGGGAGGGAGGTGAATGGGGAGTCGGGGGGAGGGAGGGGAATGGGGAATCGGGGGGAGGGAGGGGAATTGGGAATCGTGGGAGGGAGGGGAATTGGGAATCGTGGGGAGGGAGGGGAATTGGGAATCGGGGGGAGGGAGGGGAATCGGGAATCGGGGGGAGGGAGGGGAATCGGGAATCGGGGGGAGGGAGGGGAATCGGGAATCGGGGGGAGGGAGGGGAATTGGGAATCGGGGGGAGGGAGGGGAATTGGGAATCGGGGGGAGGGAGGGGAATTGGGGAATTGGGAATCGGGGGGAGGGAGGGGAATTGGGAATCGGGGGGAGGGAGGGGAATCGGGGGGAGGGAGGGGAATGGGGAATCGGGGGGAGGGGTACTTTCTGAACTCCCTGTCCTCTCTCAAGGGCCTTTTAATTGTGCAAGATTTTTCTCACTACACATGCTACTTGGTCTCGTTGTACGCTCATTTAGATGTGCAAACGGCGCAAGGCTCTATCTACCCTCCACACCTTGTGCTCCTGCTGCTCTTGCAATGCAATCCCGGTGTCTGCTCTCATCCGCCAGGTGCCACCCTTCTTACCCAAGGAGCTAACACGGGCAATCAACCATTTCCTGCAGGTACCACCGTAGTTTTGAGGCGCCTCAAATCAACCGTTTCCTGCAGGTACCACCATACCACAACTGATTACCTACCAACCTCTCATGTGTGATACTGGTCCTCAACAATTTCATCTCAACCATGCAGAAAATGCAGATACATCATACAAACCTACCAACCATGCACAGCATTGGATGTCTTTCTTTGTTTGTTTGTTTTTCTTGAGAGGCGACAGTCGACCCTTTTCTCTCTTGCTCATCCACAGGACGTTGATGTTTTGTTTTGTTTTGTGTGTTTGTTTTTTTGTTTGTGTTTTGTCTGAGCAATTCTTCCCCGCTCATGCAGCTGTCAGCAGCAGAGGCATCAGTGGTGGCAGCAAGGGAGGTGCCTCGCTCCTTCCACGCCAGATTCCGGGCCACCCAGCGAACGTGCGTGCGTTGCGTTGCGTTGCGTTGCGTTGCGTCGCTTAGCGTTGCGTTGCGTTGCGTTGCGTTGCATTGCGTTGCGTTGCGTTGCGTTGCGTCGCTTAGGGGGTCATGTGGTGGGCGGGAGGGGAAAGGTGGGCTGGTGGGAGGGGAGGGGAGAGGGGGAGAGTAATAGGACCTTCTAACCAGGTAGCACCTGCCGTTCCTCTTGCTCTGCTTTTTCCTCTGCGTTCCTCTCTGCCTTTTTGCTCCGCTTTTTTTTCTGGCACCCGTGCCCTTTGTTCCTTCTGCCCCACTTCTTCTCATCGCCCTTCTTCTCCTCTCCCTCACTCCTTCCCTCCTCCTCACTCTGTCCCACTTCCCCCCTCCCCCCTCTTTTCCTCCCTCCTCCCTCCGGTGCCACGCCATCCGCCGTTCCATCCTTCCCCCTCCTTCACCCTCCTCCAATTCTCCTCCTCTCTTTGCTCCCCCTTCTCCCTCCTCCCTCCCCCTTAGCTACCTGTACTGTACTGCATACACGCATCAACGTCCACGCATCCCTCCATCTTCGATCGCAACCGCGTGTAGCACATGCCAGCGCAGCTCACCTTGACTTACATGCCATGCACCATGTGCCTTATCTCTCCCTCCCTCCATCCAGCTACCTATACCGCATACACGCGTCTCCGTCCGCCCATCCCTCCATATTCGATCGCAACCGCGTGTGGCACGTGCCGGCCCATCTGGACGTGCATGCCATGCGCGCTGCAGCGGCAACTCTCTGCGGCTTCCACGACTTCTCCTCCTTCAGGGCCTCAGGCTGCCAGGTGCGCTTGTGCTGTGAGATGCCATGCGCACTCGCTGCAACCCAGTACATCCATGTGCCACGTGCCGGCCCACCTGGACGTGCCGGCCCATCTGGACGTGCCTGCCCACCTGGACGTGCCGGCCCACCTGGACGTGCCGGCCCACCTGGACGTGCCGGCCCATCTGGACGTGCCTGCCGGCCCATCTGGACGTGCCTGCCTGCCCACCTGGACGTGCATGCCATGCGCGCTGCAGCGGCGGCTCTCTGTAAGTGGGTTCCACGACTTCACCTCCTGCAGAGCCTCAGGCTGCCTGCCAGGTGCGCTTGTGGGTGCAGCAGCAGTGAGCCAGATTTTCTGCCACATGCACACAGCAGTAGCCAAGCCAGCAGCAGCTGTAGTTTTATGTGGCTCGCCTCGTCTGTTTTCCTCCTCCTCCTCCACTCCGCTTCTCTCCCCCGTGCTCCTCCACTCCGCTTCTCTCCCCCGTGCTCCTCCACTCCGCTTCTCTCCCCCGTGCTCCTCCACTCCGCTTCTCTCCCCCGTGCTCCTCCACTCCGCTTCTCTCCCCCGTGCTCCTCCACTCCGCTTCTCTCCCCCGTGCTCCTCCACTCCGCTTCTCTCCCCCGTGCTCCTCCACTCCGCTTCTCTCCCCCGTGCTCCTCCACTCCGCTTCTCTCCCCCGTGCTCCTCCACTCCGCTTCTCTCCCCCGTGCTCCTCCACTCCGCTTCTCTCCCCCGTGCTCCTCCACTCCGCTTCTCTCCCCCGTGCTCCTCCACTCCGCTTCTCTCCCCCGTGCTCCTCCCCTTCTGGCACGCCCTCCCCTTCTGGCACGCCCTCCCCTTCTGGCACGCCCTCCCCTGATCGTCCCTCTTCCTCCCACCCACGTCTGCATGCATTTCCCTTCTCTCTCCCGATCCACACCATACCTCCCTCCCACCAGGCGCGCTCTCCTCTCCACTCGTTCACAGAGCTCTCGGTCTTTGAGGTTCCCTGCTGGCCCGCCTGCCTGCTTGCCCAAACCCCACTCCCCATTCCCACCCAAATCCCCACCACTCCCCACTCCCCATCACTCCTCCCACCAGGCGCGCTCCCCTCTGCGCTCTCTCCATCTTTGAGGTTCCCTGCTGACCCACCTGCTTGCCCGTGCCCGCCTCCTCCCACACCCCACTTCCCCCCACTCTTCCCCACACCACTCCCTCCCTCTTTCCTTCTCCCCCCAGGCGCGCTCCCCTCTGCGCTCTCTAAGTGAGCTCTCCATCTTTGAGGTGCCCTCCTGGTCCGCCAGCCTGCCCGCTCTGACTCTCCCCCACTACCCCATCCCCACCACTCCACACCACTCTCCACCAATCCTTTTCGCTTTTCTCCACCAGGCGCGCTCCCCTCTCCGCTCTCTAAGTGAGCTCTCCGTATTTGAGGTGCCCTCCTGGTCCGCCTGCCTGCCCGCCTCCTCCCACCCCTCCTGCACCACGTGGCAAGGGCCTGAAGGGCCAAAAGGGGAGGCAGAGGGACGTGAAGTATCCACCTGGCACGGCCCTGAGAGGGCGAAAGCAGGCACAGAGGGAGGCGAAGGGGAGGCGGTAGCGGTTGTGTGTGGAGAGAAACGAGGGAGGGAAGAGGAGGGAGTGTGTGCAGAGGGGAGGGCAGAGGGGGCGAGTGGCAAGAGGCTGCGTGGGGAAGAGAGAGGGGAGGAGTCGCGGGGAGAAGAGGAGGATGGGGTGGAGAAAGAGGAAGGGGGTGGAGGAGAGAAAAGAGCGGAAACGAAAGGGGAGAGTGAGAAAGAGGAGACAAGGAGAGTGAGGGAGGGGACAAGGGAGGAGGGGGAAGGGAAGGAAGGGGAGGGAGGGGAAGGAGGGGAGGAAGGGAAGGAAAGGGAGGAAAAGGGGGACAGTGTGGAAAGTGGCGAAGGGGTGCAGATGCTGGTGGTGCGGGCGAGGGCCCCCTCGTTCCTGTACCACCAGGTGCGGCTGCTGGTGGGACTGCTCAAGGCCGTTGGTGCAGGGGCCGTGCAGCCTGATACAGGTGAGGGAAGGGGGGGGGAAGAGAAAGGGTTAGATTGTGTTTTCTTTAATCGGTTTCATCAGGTGCGGCTGCTGGTGGGGCTGCTCAAGGCCTGGCCGTGGGAACAGGGGCCGTGGAGCCTGGCGCAGGTGAGGGCAGAGGGGGAAGTGGGAGGGGGGAAAGCGGGAGGGGGGGCGATCACATTGCTTTACGGGTCTGTACCATCAGGTGCGGCTGCTGGTGGGGCTGCTCAAGGCCGTTGGTGCAGGGGCAGTTTACCCCGAGACAGGTGAAAAGAGAGAGGTAAGATAGTGGTTTGAGAGAACCTGTACCTTCAGGTGCGGCTGCTGGTGGGGCTGCTCAAGGCCGTGGGAGCAGGAGCAGTGCATATCGACAGAGGTGGGAAAGGGGGTTTGGGGGGGGGGGGGGGGGGGGGGGGAAGGGGGGAGAGTGGGAGGGGGGGATATGTCATTGGTTTCCAGGTCTGTACCACCAGGTGCGACTGCTGGTGGGGCTGGTCAAGGCCGTGGGAGCAGGGGCGGTGCACCCCAACACAGGTGAGGGAGAGGAGGGGAGAACAGGGATGTGGGGAGACGTGAAGGTGGGGGGAGAGAAGGGAATAAGAAACTGTGTCGTTAGTTCGATCAGGTGTCTGTGGTGCCACCAGGTTCGATCGAGACGCATTCTCAGATGTGTTTAACTCTTGTCCCATGTGCTTTGAAGCGGCGCGAAGGCTTTTATCACACGAATCTAGCCTTGTCTTTATCACGAAGTGTGGTACCCTCGCTCTGTTTCCTCGCTCTGTTGCCTTGTCTTTCTCTGTTTCCCCTCTCCCCTTCTTCCCGTCATCCTTCCCTCCACCTCCCCTCCCGGAAGTCAAATCAATCCCGGAGGCAAGGGACATCCAGGGAGTGCCGCCCATGGTTTTGAGAGCGCCCTCTTTTTACATCAAATCACCATGTCCTCTTCCCTCCCCTTCCTTGCTTTCCCCTCCACCTCCCCTCCCGGAAGTCGACTCCACTCACATCACAATGTTCCTGCCCTCCCCGCCTTCCGTCTGCCTCGCCTCCCCTCCCCTGAGGCATACTCGATAACCTTAAACCTTAAATCCCGGCAGTCAAGACAATCCTGGAGACGAGGGACATTCGGGGAGTGCTGCCCATGGGGCTGCCTGCTGCTACTTCTTCAGTTGACTCCAAGTTCACTCCACCATGTCCCCTCCCCTCCACCTCTCCTCCCCTCCCGCCCGGCAGTCAAGTCAATCCTGGAAGCGAGGGACATCCAGGGAGTGCCGCCCATGGCGCCGGCCTGTGGCCTATACCTTGCCACTGTTGCCTACGGCCCCCATAGGCCCAAACGAGCCTCCTCACAGCAATGACATGCCGCTAGGGGCCAAAGCGAGCCTCTCATGGGAATGATATGATATGCCTCCCATGGGGCCTGCGTGCAGCCTCTACCTTGCCAGTGCTCTGCCTACGGCCCGCAGACGCCCAAACGAGCCTCCTCACAGCAATGACATGCCGCTAGGGACCAAAGCGAGCCTGGGAATGATATGCCTCCCATGGCACTGCGTGAAGCCTCTACCTTGCCAGTGCTGTCTATGGCCCACAGACGCCCAAACGAGCTGCTTCACAGCAATGAACTGCCCCTGGGGACCGAAAAGGGTTTTCTTACAGGAATGGAGTGCCTCCCATGGCGCTGCATGCGGCCTATACCTTGCCAGCGTTGCCTACGGCCCGCGTAGGCCGAAGCGCCCTTCCTCGCAGCAATGAAATGCCTTCAGGGGGCAAAGCATGCGTACAGCAATGAAGTGCTAGCTACAGCTAATTTCCCGCAACTGGTTATATTTCGTACCGTATTTTTTTTTGTTATATTTGGTACTGGCATGTATGTGAAAAGTTTCTAGCAAGGCTTAGGAGCCTTAGTTTAGTTAGGTTCTTAGAGATTGAGTTTAGAGTTGAGAAGAGTGTCGAGAAAGTTGGAAAGGAGAAAGAGTCGAGAGAATGAGGGTTTCACTATAGGTTCAAGGGTACAAATATGAGAGAACAAGCAAGAAAGGTGCACCACCAAATAGGAAAACGCTATAACTACAGTAACCAATCCTACAGGCAGTTACATATAGAAAATATTAAATTATATTTTCCGACACGCCCCCATAACTGGATGTAGGAGATGAGTATGCAGTTAGCGCCCTCTGAAGGGGTACATCACGATTGTGCAGGAGGAGAAAAGTGTTTCAATAATACCACTCCCCTGGTTCCCCCACACCTTCACACCTTCCCACCCTCCCCCTCCCCCTACCCTTCCCCCTCCCCCACACACTGCTGCAGGAGCAGCAGAGGGGGGGAGAGAGGAGAGGTGGAGGGACGGCTGCTGGGTGGTCTCACACCCGCCACCCCAGTGCCACTCCCCGGGCTCCCCCACACCCTCACACCCTCCCCCCCAGCGGCAGCTGCAGCAGCGGGAACAAAAGGAGGAGGAGAGGGGGGGGGGGGGGGGGGGGGGGGGCGACGCACGTCCTCCCCGGGCGCCAAAGTAGGCGGCAGAGGGGGCGACGCCTGCCCCCCCCTTCCAGGTCGCCCCTCCCGGCACCTGTCGAGGTGACCTGAGGGGGCCGCGTGCGGCCCCCGAAGGAGCCGCGACGGGTGACGGGAAAAGGGGGGGGGGGGGCGGGGCACGTGCCCCCGGTGTGCCGCGGCTGGCGACGGGGCATGGCCGGGGCGGGGTCGGGGCCGCAAGTGGGCGGGGCCTCAGGTGGCATCGGGGCCGAAGTGGGCGACGGGGCCGCAGGTGGCGACGGGGCCGCAGGTGGCGGGGCCGTAGGTGACGACGGGGCTGGGGCCACAAGGAGGCGACAGGGCCGGGGCCGCAGTTAGGTGACGAGGCCGGGGCCGCAGGTGGGCGACTGGGCCAGGGCCGCAGGTGGGCGACTGGGCCGGGGCCGTAGTGAGGCGACGGGGCCGCAGGTAGGGGACGGGGCCGCAGGTAGGCAACAGGGCCGGGGCTGCAGGTAGGGGACGGGGCCGAGGCCGCAGGTAGGCGACGGGGCCGGGGCCGCAGGAAGGCGACGGGGCCGGGGCTGCAGGTAGGCGACGGGGCCGTAGGGCCGCAGGTAGGCGACGGGGCCGTAGGGCCGCAGGTAGGCGACGGGGCCGGGGCCGCAGGAAGGCGACGGGGCCGGGGCCGCAGGTAGGCGACGGGGCCGTAGGGCCGCAGGTAGGCGACGGGGCCGTAGGGCCGCAGGTAGGCGACGGGGCCGTAGGGCCGCAGGTAGGCGACGGGGCCGTAGGTGGCGGGGCCGCAGGTGGCGACGGGGCCGCAGCGGGCGACGGGGCCGCAGGTGGCGACGGGGCCGTGGTGGGCGACGGGGCCGCAGGTGGGCGACGGGGCCGTAGCGGGGCCGTAGCAGGGCCTCAGCGGGGCCGGAGCGGGGCCGTAGCGGGGCCTGACGAAGGGCGGGCGACAACGGGGCCGCTGAAAGGGCGGCGACAGGGCCGCTGAAGGGCGGCGACGGGGCCGCGAAGGGGCCGCGAGGGGCCTGAAAGGGCGGCAACGGGGCCGCTAAGAGAAAGTTTAGGGGCACGCCACGGGGCGTGCCGAACACAGAGTAGCAGCGGAAGCAGTAGGGCGGGTCCACAGGCCATGACCTATCACTCTGATAGCATGTGAAAGGTTTCTAGCAAGGCTTAGGAGCCATAGTTTAGTTAGGTTCTTAGAGATCGAGTTTAGAGTTGAGGAGAGTGTCGAGAAAGTTGGAAAGGAGAAAGAGTCGAGAGAATGAGGGTTTCACTATAGGTTCAAGGGTACAAATATGAGAGAACAAGCAAGAAAGGTGCACCACCAAATAGGAAAATGCTATAACTTTAGTAACCAATCCTACAGACAGTTACATATAGAAAATATTAAATTATATTTTCCGACAATGTAGTGGCAAAGACTTCATGCAGGGCATTAAAGTGTTTTGAAAGGTTCATGTTTGTTTGAAGAGCAACACATGCCGGTGCTGCTTCATCGTACCAGTACCATTATTGTTCATGCCAGTTTTAATCAGCCACACCCTACCCATTGTTGGAAACAATCGTTCTTAAGCGCCTCTGTCGTGTCGAAACACTAAGGCACAAACAAAGCGAAGCATATCGAAGCACCGGCGAGTCAACCCTCGGAGGTTGAAAGTAACTGTTGGAGGTTACGCGAAAGTCAAAGGTCAGCGACCTTTGACCTGACAAAGTACAGCGCGACAGCAAGGACACACAACTGACTCGCTACAGAGCAGTTGCCCGAGTCGTCACTGTATCGAACCGCAACAGCAACAGTTATAACTGTACCCCTTCATATTCTTTGTACTCTTATATAATCTTGTATCTCTCTGTTTTAATCAACTTACTTTGCCCTCACATACTAGCGCAAGGTGGTTCACAAATCTTCATTAAACGCTTCCGCTATTACATCAGTCCTACCCAGAGTTCACCCCTGCAAAGATCATAAGGGCTTTTCTCAGCCCAACATGGTATAAGAGCGGTGAGGGAGAATTCGACTTCTATTAAGGGTACATTCCGCTGTGGACACATGTCCCAATCGATGTGTCCCAATCGTTTCTACCGCACTGCATCGTATTACACCAAATTGCACCCTAGTTTCGAAATTTTCGCGTCTCTGGTTTAGTTCGGTTCGGAGCGGTACACTCGATTGGGACACATCGATTGGGACATGTGTCCACAGCGGAATGTACCCTAAGATACCGACAGCATCAACATGCATGGCTACACAAAAGGAAAGGAGCTCCTCCAACGGCTCCCAGAGCACTACTCCTACTCCACCTCCTGCCTCTAGCCTACAGACAGAGGAGGGTACGGCAACAAGACCCAGGGCAACATCCACCGAGACTCCTGCGAATCAACCTGCAGACTTCGACCAGAGCATGATGGAGAAATTCTTCTCCTTCATGTCCTTCTACGAGCAACACCAGCAATCGGCACGTGCGCGGTCACACAATAGCAACAACAACGGAGCAACTCCCATGAGTCTCGACGGCTCATCATACGCACGAGGAAATCAACAGCAGCAGCCTACCTTTGCTCCGTACGAGCGCGGGTCCATCAGCTTTATGCCACACCCGCAGCCTTCACCTGGACAAGAAAAGTGACTGGACGCATTACAAGTTCTGTCGCAGTTCGCGCATGTTCTGAAGATGCAGACGTCAAGACCTTTCGATGGAAAGGATTTCTTCACCTGGTCGTTTGAATTCGAGTTAATGATGGAAGGCGCACATATATTTGGCTTCTTCGACGGGTCCCTGCCATACCCAACAAACGACACACAGTATGAGAAGCAGTAGTACACCTATCAGTCGATGATGGCGTACACAATTCTACTGAGAAACATCACCCCGACCCAACAACAGAATATATAGTCTTACCGGGGTTACGGCAACTCCGCGGAGCTCGCATACAACCACTTGAAGAGCCTGTATCAAGCAACAGACAGCGTAAATCAAAGTTTGTTAATGGCGCAACTGACAACGGTTGAAATGAAACCAGGCGAAAAAGGAATGACGTATATCAGCCGATGTTGCGAGTTGCGCGACAAGCTTCTTTGATGCGGAGGGTCAATTTCTGAAGACGCCTTCGTGACAGTTATCATTGGCGGCCTCGGACCTCAATGGCGCGCCACAAAGACCATTCTCTGAGCCCACGGAAGTGTCAAATTATAATATTGTGTAGGCTATAGTGGGGTAGTCTATATGGGGTACACATTTCTAGGGTTGCATATTTGTATCACTCCCATTCCTTCGTCAATTCATTCTCGTTCTACTTTCCTCATGGTATCGAGCAGGTTCCCCCTTGGGAACTGTGCCTAGGGCCCACCACATCGAGTTTCATTTTTTTTCTCCTGCCCGAAACGCGCTCCGCCCGAGTCGCGCTCCGGGCTCTCACCTCGTCGAGCCGCCCTAGCGGCCCCTTCGCCCTAGCGGCCCCTTCCCCTAGCGGCCCCGCCGCCCGTCGATTCGGCCCCGCCGCCCTTTAGTGCGGCCCCGCTGCCCGTCTCAGCGGCCCCGCCACCTCAGCGGGCCCTGCCCTACTTAGCGGCCCCACCGCCCGTCGCTGCGGCCCTGCCCTTCTCAGCGGCCCCGTCGCCCCGCATTGCGGCCCCGCCGCCCGTCTCCGCGGCCCCGCCGCCAGTCGCTGCGGCCCCGCCCTTCTCGGCGGCCCCGTCGCCCCACATTGCGGCCCCGCCACCCATCTCAGCGGCCCCGCCGCCCTTCGCTGCGGCCCCGCTGCCTCCCTGGCTGCGGCCCCGCCACCCTACTCAGCGGCCCCGCCGCCCTTCTACTCAGCGGCCCCGCCGCTCTACTCAGCGGCCCCGCCGCCCTACTCAGCG